CCGGGGCAATCACCACGCAGCGAGGGCTTCGATGGGAACTGAGGGAGCTTGGGGATATGCGCAGGGTTTGGGAGGGTGTAGGGTCGCGGATATGTGTGAGCTTTCCAGCCTTACGCTGTGGAAACAGGCAAATGAAGAGACTTAGCGTGTTGGGCAAACAGACTGTAACTGTTCAACCAGCTGAACGCGTTAGGATTGCTCTTATCTCCTGATCTCGATTTTGCTCGCTTACAGCCAGGGTAAGGCAGGGAAGTTGCCCCAGATAGTGCCTCAGCCCTGTGGCAAGGATGGTAGCTGCTTCCAGAAATAGTTTCAGGAAAGGAATCCCTCCTAAATGTCACCCGGCATAACATGGAGGCAAAGCAAAGGTAGCATCCTTTCCCAAGCAGTCTTCCAGAATAGTTTCCATAGTTATTGCATATGGTCCTTCTGACCCTTGAGATGAACAAAATGGAAAGGATCAGCCAGGTAACAAGTGTCTGACTGCTGGCGAGTTAGTCTGGGAGCAAAAAGACTTCTGCTTATCGTGTTTTCTTGTCTGACTGCTATTTTAATGCTGTGGAAATCTGTGACAATGCACACCAAAATGTTCAGCAAATTCCCTGGAGTTTTTGCCTTCTGGTATATACAGGAAGTGTAGGAAAATAGTGGTATCAAGTTGGCCAAAAAGTAATTGAAGATTTTTTTATAGATGGGCATAGATGTCTTGAAATGTAACAAACTTCATTTTAAACCACAAATTCTTTATGTAACTTGACAGCTGACAATTGGAGCTTGTTTTAGGAAAAGAAAGTGCACAATTTTGTTAACAACTGTTTGTTTTATGCCTATTTCAAAATGGAAAATCAAAAGGAACTTTGTTGTCATATTTTGCTGTATTACTTCTGAAAAGGAAAAAGCACCGTGCAAGCTCATAAAAAGTTATGTGAAGATGTCTTGAAACTACAGCAGTGTCAGATCTGGTTTGCTAAATTTCAGTCTGGAGATTTTGATGTTAAAGATACACCACACTCAGGAAGGCCAATTGAAGTTGATAACAACAAAATAAAGGCATTAATCAAATCCAGTCAACATTTAATGACATGAGAGATTGCCAATAATCTTAACATACCAAAATCAAGCACTGAAAAACATTTAAAACAACTTGAATATGTTAAGAAGCTCATATTTGGGTACCACATGAGTTCAAAGAAAATCATGTCACTAAGGACACTGACACCTGTGATTCTCTCTTGTAATGTGAAGAAAAGGATCAATTTTTGAAGCATATGATAACAGAAAATGACAAGTGGATCATCTGCAACAACGACGAATGAAAAAGATCATGGAGCAATTGTGATGAACCATCTCACAGCACTTCAAAAGCCGATATTCACCAAAGGAAGGTTATGCTGTCAGTCTGGTGGGGTTTCAAAGGCACTCTGTATTTTGCATTACTTCCAAGGAATCAAACCCTTAATTTGAATGTGTACAGCCATCAACTGGATAAATTAAATGATGCCATCAAACAGAAGTGTCCAGAGTTGGTGACTCTCAAAGGCGGTGTGTTTCACCATAATAATTCTAGACCACATAAAAGTTTGGTTACTTGTCAAAATTTGTTACAGCTTAGATGGGACGTGTTGCCATACCCACCATATTCACCAGAACTGGCTCCATCAGACTATCATTTGTTTTGTTCTTCACAAAACACCTTAGATGGTAAAACCTTCACTGCTGATAAGGATTTCAAATCGTTCTTGGAACTCTTTTTGCCGAAAAAGATAGGGACTCTTTAGAGTGTGGAATCATGAAGTTGCCTGAAAGATGGCAACAGGTAACTGAACAAAATGGACACTATATAGTTCAATACAGTTCTTGTTTCCCATGAAAAAAAAGCCTTTCATTTACCCAGAGAAAAACGTAATTACTTTTTGGCCAACTCAATAAATTAACATCTATACAAAGATGTGGCAAATGGAATTGCTTCCTAGCTGTGTATTTTGAAAGAAAAAATGATCTTCCTGATCTTCCGCATACAAGAAACGTTTGAGATTCATAGAAAGAAACCCTAATTTTCAGTGCATTGTTTAAATTTCAAATTCTGTATTAGCTACACTTTGCATTCTGTATTTTCCATCATTCATATCTCTAGTTAGTACTGTCACAAGACAGCCTCTATCAGAAGTAGGGTTAGTTTGTGTGTGTGAAATCCTGAGCTCTCCTGTGTGGCCTGATGATGTGTGAACTATCTGGTTTAGAGCAATCATGGCTATCTCCACACTGAGTTGCAGTGGGAATATATCCAGGACGTGTAGGGTGAAGTATGAAATGCCTCTTTGCCACTAAAAGCAATTTCACACAACAGTGTGAATACAATAGGCTCTTTAGTCAAGAAGGCAGAGACAGAAAGAAGTGAAAGAAGCAATTATCAAGAAAATCCATTTAGTGAGGTCTGTGCATGTTCAATTCAATGGTCAATTGCTTAATCTTTTGGATGTATAGCATGAAAAAATAAAAAATAAACAATCTTGAAACCAGAATTTTTGGCTGAATTTGGTGAAATTTGGTTGAATTTTGGAAAGTGTAAAAACATCTGACGGTACAACATCATGAAATTACTAGGTACTTGCAGTAGATTGTTTTGCAGAGAAACTGCTTGTCGGGTTTTGGATTCATCGGTGTTAGTGATTATGTGCACGTTATTGAAACACACTGTATGTTGCATATATGCCCCAGTGCTAGTCATGCTAACATTGAGTGGTTTGCTCATAGAGATTAGCTAAACAACTTCAGTTTGTCACACAACCATTCTTAACAAACATTTACCTGGAGTATCTCTGGGTCTGGGATGCAGCAGAGCACTGATTCTGGTCTGTTTGGGATGACTAAATTGAATCAAATGAAAGATGGTGTAGAAGTGGGCATGCAAGCCGACCAGTAAGTTGAAGGCATGGATGTACAAAAGCAATTTTCCATGGTTGGAGAATCTTCAGGGCAAGTTCCTTTCCTACAGACAGAATTCATAACTCAGCTTAGTCTGAGCTGTGCCACAGGGCTCTCCAACTCCATGCTCTGTCAATGCAGTTGTTTCCTCCTCTCCTTTTCCATATCCTGTCCTTTCTGTCCCCAGCCCTGCCTAGAGGCTATCACACCACTGCTTTTTCATGCCCATATATTTATGAGAGATAAGTAATACCTAACCAGGCCTGTGCATATGAATTGTAACCTGGCATTCATTTCCTCTTGCATACCTCCAAGTACTAGAGAAAAGGGCAAGTTCCCTGGTATCACTTGGTCCTTGATGAAATGCTTCCTGTCTCAGTTGATTTGACAGTGGAGTTCTCTGCCCAGTGAATAAGAGGAACCACATTTTTCTGTTAAGTGGTTGGATTTAAAGGACAATTTTCTCTTTTGACAAATTGCACAACAAATAATATTCCAGTCTGCTGATAAGAAAGGTCCTTTGGACTTCTGCACATCCAGGAAAGCGGAAAAGTCACTAATATTGGGGTGGAAAAGAGGGAGAAGAAGAAAGGCAAGAGCACTGGACTGTGCTTTGGGTGTTTGATGGAGATTCATTCAATTTTGTATTAAGGAGCTTGTCTATCTGTAGTAAACACAGTAGTAGAAGTCAGACTTCTTCCATTTGCCAGCTGAAATAACATCTTATTTAAGAAGAGCATAGGATAAACACAAGGAGAAAAAAATTGACAAAAGTTTGAGAAGATAGAAAGGTAAACCAACCATCTTTGCTATTGTGGTTCCTCCACAGTGAATGTCTTACTGTGTGCAGCGGATCAAGTTTAGTACTGTAGTATTTGTTTTTCTTACCTCTTCCTTTACTCTTGTGCATTTGCAGGATGCCTTTGTAGCATTCCATGTTGACAAGGTGCTGGTGAACAAGTACTTGAAGCCACTGCAGATTGGGGAGCTGGCACCAGATCAACCCAGTGTTGAGCCCACTAAAAATGTAAGTCTGTCCTTGTAAATCAGATCAAAGATAGATTAACAGGAAATATTCTGCCATTAGGCCTTGTTCTTCTCTATCAGCATAGCTCCTGGAAAAATGGGATCCAGGCCCTTCACAATTTTTTGTGCTACCTCTTAGAAACAATATATTAATATTAGTCTAAATCCACATTATGTGGTTGAGAATGAGATTCCTGAAGATGAATTTTTCATATCACATCAACTCTACGTAAATAGCAGAACTTTATTTTGCTCTCATGAATATCACAGCTATCATCTTTTCCTCTTTCCTTTGCCTTGAGAAAAAGCTAACCAAAAATTAATTCATTCCAGTTGATAATAAATTTTCACACTGTACTCCCATTTGTTGTAGGTATTTGAAGGGAGAGACTGCAGGTAGAGTGTTTTAGCCTTGAATTAAGTTTCACAGGCTGTATTGCCATTGCTCTTTTGGACAGCCTTGTAGCTGTCTAAAGGTCAAATCATAGAATCATTAAAGCTAATGAGACCTCTAAGACCTCTAAGATCATCAAGTCCAACCATCAACCCAACACCACCATGCTCACTAATCCATGTCCTGATGTGCCACATCTACATGTATTTTGAATGCCTCCAGGGATGGTGAGACCACCACTTCCCTGAGATTGCATGATCATTCACAGAAGCACTACTGATGTGTCTGTGAGAGTAACTAACCTGGTATGTCAAATAAAAACTCATCAGAGAGGCACATGACAGGAGTAGTCTTGGAGTACAAATATTCCCTGGGCTGTATGATCCTCATTGCTTCCTGCTCTCCAAGAGTGTTTTCCCCATTCCTCCTATCCTGCCCTGACTTTTCCTTTGCCCAGTCCCACACTGCATGCTGAAGGAGAACAAGATAATGTAATTCAGGCATTAGAAACACAATTCAGAGCAGACTGGCTGTCCCAGAATGGCATGGCCACACTTTCTATGTAGGTGGGAACCTCACGAAGCCTCTTACCCATCTCTGGGCACGACTTGCCTATTTCTCGATCCCATAGCTGGCCCACACCAGCACCTGCATGTGCCTTCCTCCATGCAGACTCCCTTTCCCCAAAATTATTGGGAAAGTAAGCTGCCAAGCTCCTTTGTGGGCTGGGTTGCATAGAGACAGGAATCAGGCTTGGAAGGCATCTGCAGACCTGGCAAAGCCAAAGATGAGTTGGTCTAGCACCCAAGCTGTGCTCATTTCTTGTTCCATCCTCCTTCCTCAATGCCCACCAGCCTGAGGCCAGCTGGGCTGGAGGTGCCATTTTTCATACAGGCATTTTACCCTCTCCTGTTAATCTTGGGAAGCGTAAAGTGAAGACATAAAATGAGCTATTGGAACTGGTGGCAGAAGTGAAATAATTTCATCCAAGAGGTCTACCACAAGATGGCATGCTATGCTCATGCACCCACAGTACAGCTGCCACGAGATACAACTTTCATCTGAGCCCTACGCTACCTGCCAAGAAGATGATGGCAGAAGCACCAAAGATATAGTCTTAGGGGCTGGGGGTGCAGACACTGTGTTCTGTGGTGGCTGCTGCTTGCTCCTCTACTCTGTGTACCTTATCAGACAAGGACAGAGAGAAGCTGTAGGAGAGCAATGATAAAGTTTACTAGTGTGCAAGCCCAGCTCTGCCCACTTGGCCAGATCCTTTGCTCTTTATTTCCTCCAATAAAGTGGTCTTTGTTTCGAGGCTGCAGTGCTACACTGTAGAAACAGATAGTGTGTAACATTGGTGCTTCCCACAGAAAATGCTGGTGAAAGACTTCCGTGAATTGCGTGCTACTGTTGAGAAAATGGGACTTCTGAAGCCAAATCAACTCTTCTTCCTCCTGCTCCTCGCTCACATCCTTCTGTTGGATACGGCTGCTTGGCTCATTCTTCTCTACTTTGGGACATCCTTAATGCCCTTTACTGTCTCCCTGGTGGTGCTGACCATTTCCCAGGTAAGCAACTAAGTTCCCAGCATGTGCACAAGGACTTGCATCAAGTTCCATGTGTGTAATACTATTGCGGTTTTGTAGTCTTCCATTTCCTTACATAGTTCTCCTTTGTCATAAGAAGACAACCAGTATATGGCATGTGTTTACAGAAGATGTAAAGAAGAAGATCTGCATGTGGGTATCTCCTACTTAACCTAGTCTGGGATTCTTTCAGCAAGACATATTCTAGGAGAAGCCTCAAGAGTATCAGGATTTCATAGATCCTTTCCGATTGTGAGTTTGGAGCACTGTCCAAGAAATAAATCTTGGTTATTTCAAAACAAAGGATGGGTGTTGCACTGCCCTGGTCTTAATTCCTCTTCTGCTCCCCTCTCCACCCACCTCACCCAAAGTTTTATTTTCCTCTTCCAGGTCCAAGCCTCATGGTTACAACATGATTTAGGACATCTTTCAGTATTCAGGAAGACCAAGTGGAACCACTTGCTGCATAAGTTTGTGATGTGCCATTTGATTGTAAGTACCTGACCATGGAAAAACTTCCTAGATTTGACAGCTCTCCTGTAAAAGTGTATGTTCCGAAGTCTGTGGAGGATAGTGTGTTTAGCACTGGGAGAAAGAGGGGAATTGGAGAGAATCAGGCTCTGAAAGCATTGTACTTTTCATACTTTGTTCTTCTCTAAAACAGGGAGCGTCAGCCAAATGGTGGACTCTTCTGCACTCCCAGCACCATGCTAAACCAAACTGCTTCCAGAAAGATCCCGATATTGATATGCACCCTTTCTTGTTTACTTTGGGGAAGAAATTATCTGTGGAGGTCAGTGTGTGTGTGTGTATGCATGCTTATGTACCAGGAACTGGGAAGAACACCCTAGTAAAAAAAATCACACTGTACCATAAAGATCTAAAATTAAGATGTGATGACCGTTTCTGAGAAAAGATTGCTTTCATCTGTGTCTATGTCCTGCAGCCTTTGTAAGCAGGTCATGTTTCACATTAAGTTCCTTTAAAATTAGCCTTTGTAAGTAGGTCATGTTTCACATTAAGTTCCTTTAAAATTTTTTTGAACGGTTGACAAGTAGTTGTAAATAAATTAGACGTGATGTACTTGTGTCATATACAGGGTGAAAAATCCATCACTAAAGAATATTAATGGTTACAGCAACTTCACGACCTGACAGAACAACTCACTGATTAATGATTATCACATAACTTTTAAACATTAATGTAAAGCATGTCTACATCTGACCTGGGATTATTACTTTAATATTAATGTCCTAGGCTCTGAGATACAGGTGGCTTTGGCATCTCTATGCCTTCTAGGAGAAAGCAGAAGCCTTGCTGTGAAATGCAGCCAGCACAGCAGGACTGACTAACCAAGAGCTGTCCCTGGAGCTCTGTAGGACTGGTTGGTTGTTGGCGGGTCCCTCTAGTGGGCAGAAGTCATTTGACCACACTGGATGTTCTCAACTTTTACTGCTAGGCCACTTCCAGGAGCAACAACCTAAGACAATGTTGGGCCCTTATTGCTGTACAACTTCATCAGTTCTTGAGACTCTGACACAGTAGCTACGGCACTGAAATATTTTTCACCTTGGAAGACCTTTGCCGTCATGAAAGTGTCATTTAAGCATACAAAATCAGAGAAGAAAGTAGGGGTGAAAGAGGGAAAATTCATATGACAATTTTTGACTGATAACTCAGCCTTGAAATATCTAATATTTCACCAAATTAATTACGAATGTGGTAAGAACACAAAACCAAGGAAATCCACCAGTTAAAATTCACCTCTATCTACCCTCAAAGTTGTTCTTATCATAACTTATAAATCACACCATCTTTTAATGGATGAAATGTTCTGGCATAGTTTTCACTACATCATTCTATTCCAACCCAAACATTGGTGGTATCCATGACAGCAGTCTCCTTCCTACCGTATACTAATGAAGGTTTTTCTTGTGGGCTGCTACCTCCGTTTTGGCTTGTCATGAGTGTATCTAGAGCTACTTTTCAGCAATCAATTTTCCCTTATTGGAGAAAAATCTCATGCTTGCTTAACAACTTATCTCTGAAGCACTTTATCAGGCTGTAAGGCATTAAAGCCTTATATTAATGGAACAAGGATTTCTAGAAAAGGCTTATTACTTACGTGAACTACTAGGACAAGTACACAAGAGGGAGACAGTAGGAATGAGGGTTGTGGGAAGTGTGTAAGAAGAAGGCCTCTGGGGAAGAAATAATAGAAAACAACGTCACCTGTGCAGACTGCTTAGCTTCCACTCAGTAAGTTTTTGCTGTTTCTTTTCACAGCTTGGTATCAAAAAGAAAAAATACATGCCATACAATCACCAACACAAATATTTCTTCATCAGTGAGTATCTCCATTCTCCTGCAATACCATGAGGGCTACTAATGGGGCTTGTAGATCTTACTTTTGACCTGTAGGACTTGAGCAGGCCTAAAGTGTCCGCATCAAAGAACATAATGCATTTGCATCTGATTTTTGAAGGAGTTGAAGACCTGACTGGATAAAACCCTGAGTAGCCTGGTGCTACTCTGAGATCCTGAGGTCCTTACTAGCCTGAATTATGGTATGATCCTATGTGAGATCAGGTTTCTGTGCCCTTCTCAACTTGAAACACATGAATTTGGTTTGAGTATTTCTAACCAGATGGCTTAAGTTGGCTAGAGAGTAGGAAAAATAGTGGGATACACTTATTCCAGTCATCTTAAAACTGCACTGCTTTGCAAAATAAGACTCAACTCACTAATTAAGGAAGTTACTTGCGAGAGTGAGATGAAGGTTGTACAATGGTTGGCTAATAAAGTGCATAAACAGAGCAGAAGTAAAGTTCAGAATTCCTCCACTGTCAGCATCCTGATCTCTAGGTTCACTCCTATCCTCTTCTTTCCATCTTAGTGAAGCTTTATTCCTTTTCTAAAGCAGTACCATTTCAACACAGGAGATACCACCTCTTGCATCTGTCCAGAATAGTTTGGTCTGCTGCTTAGGATGCTTGCCTGAAAAGAGGACAGTATGAATCTGAACCCTAAAACCCAGCAGAAATGGGAGCTTTCAAGGTGTAATTCATTTGGCCTGCCTTTTCCCTTGACCTCTGAGGATTGCAGGGGTTGCACTCCAGCAGTGACTCTTCTCTTGAGTGGCTAGACAGAAGTAGCAGGGTTAGCTCAGGTATGCATATATCAGATACGCAACTTGGACATGCTTAGAATTTCAGTAGTATTCAGATCTAAAGAATAGTCTGTGGGGTTTTTTGTTGTTTTGTTTTTTAAATATGAGTGAGATGCCCATTCAGAAGGTTGAGTCTGAGTATTTCTTGCAACCCAAAATCCCTGATAGGCAAGGGATGTCATGTGTATTCCTGTTGTTCCTCTGCTTTGGACAACTGAATGGGGAGCCAGATAAGCTTGGTGGCTGTGGAAGTCACTTCTCAAAATAATCCTCTGTGGCTGTTCCTCACAATCCTAAAATGAAATCTCAGATTTGTAACCATTATCAGATTAACAAACAGACCTAGAAATGTTTAGTGACACTAATAATAGAATCGTATAATAGTTTGGGTTGGACAGGACCCCCAGAGATTTAGTGCAACCCTTCTGCAATGAGCAGGGACATCTTCCACTGTATAGCATCCTAACCAGTATCAGTCTGTTGCTTTCTTGGAAAGTGGTTTCTGTGGTACTCAAAAGGATTAACTTTCTGGGGTCTTGTCCTCCTTATTTTTCAGGATTCTCTACACTCCTTTTTGTTTTCATTCTTTTCTAAAAAAGCCATGGTCGTAGCTCTCCATGAGGAAATGGGAGGCAATTCTACCTGTGTTGACAGGTGACACAGGCAGCAGCAGGCTGTGATGCTGAAGAGCAGGAGCTGACCTCTATCAAGAAGAGACTGCTTCTTGTCTTACCTTTGTTTTACCTCTTGAAGTCAGAAGGCTCTCAGATTGTTTGTCTGCGCTGATGCATGCTGATATAATCCAGCAAATTCTGCAGCCCCAAAACTTCTCAGAATATTCTCCATATTGAGTAGGGTGTTCAGAGATCCTTTGTTTCCAGCTTGATTTTCTGTCATTCAGTCCATGACATTACCAGTGATAATGAATTCTCCCTTACAGCTCTTCCTCCGCTCCTGTTTCCCACCTACTTCCACTACCACACATTTTATGTTGCATACACAAAAAGGTATTGGGCGGTAAGTATTGCTACTGGTGCAACCAAGAAGGGGTCAGCTGTGGGCCTTCAACCTCTCTTTTGAACATGGAGCCAGTCTTTATCCAGAGCTCAGTCCCTGTTGTGGCACTGTGTGCCATTCAGTTAAGCCTAATATGATTGTCACTTTGGTGCAGGGTTTTCAGTGGCTCTGCACAATTTCTGCTAAACCTATGATGTTCCCCAGCTCGATGATAAAGGCCTGATGACAAGCAGCCAGCTGGTTTGCTTGTACTGCTTTGCCTCATTTGCAGAACCACAAAGTGTACTGTCTCCTTCGGTTTGAAAAGCAAATTGGGAGGTCTGTAGTGGTCAGGAATGGGAGGATGTGGATTTATAGGAACTGCTGTCCTTGATT